AGAGAGAGAGAGAGAGATGAATTTTTCAAGAGCTTTTGAATACTTTTGAATACGCGATATATTTGGATGTTCGCAGGAGGCCAAAAAGGGTAATATGGAGAAGAAAATGCAATATCTCGAACAAAGAATAGATCTGGAGTTCGGTTCCTTCAGCTTATCCGATGCTTACGAGGAAGCCGTTGGCTATCCGTTTAGACCTGCTGCAGTCAAGGCTGTCGTTGGAATCTTGACCTTTGCCTGCGAACAAAGTGTACTGCCTCTATCGGTGAGCTTTCATTTGTTATTCCGTTGTATCGCTGCTAAGTTCATAATCAAACGTATTACAAATGTACGGATAATATCACTGATATTGTTCAGCTACAATATATGATTTATTTTTCTATCTTCGAATTATAATTTCAGATGAAAACAAAAAACTAATCATAGAAGCCGTATGTACAATTAATCAGTGGAAAAAAATTAGAAAAATATCTTCGATGGAAAATATTTTCGAGTGTTTTTTTTTTTTTATCAAATTAGCGTAATATTTTAATTTTTCGTTTGTCAACGCTACAATTTGATAAAAAAAAAAACACTCGAAAATATTTTCCATCAGAGATTTATTTCCAGTTCTTTCCAGCAATTAATTTTATAATTAGCTTCTTGTTTTTGCTCGAAATTATAATTCGAAGATAGAAAAATAAATTAACGACAAGATTCGGTCTTTTTCCAGTATCAACAATTCAGGCTTCTAATCGCACAGAAGATATACCGAGATTTAGGTCTGACTTTCTATCAAGTGCATCCTAGCGATATCCAAGTCTCTGGCAAAACGCAAAAGAACATTGTTGGTTACGATAGCGATAGTGTATACGTATTCGGTGACAGTAAAAAGAAGCCACTGACTGGAAACACCGATCTTAGAAACAATATAGTCCTTCCTACATTTGACGTGTGTGCCGACTTTGCTGTCCGGGTGAGTACAGAAATAAAATACAAAAAAATAATTTAAATATGTTAAAAGAGATGTAGTTCCTAATTAACATAAAAATTAATGACTTTATGAAGTAAATGCTGAAAAACGTAAAACAGATTGTTATAACATATATTTGTTACAGAATGGTGGAGCAGTGTTCAGTTCCAGCAATTTAGTGGATGCTAAACCAAATCAGAAGAGGCAGTTCGCTCAAGTTACCGCTAGAAAAATCGTTGAGGATCTTACGAATGTAGAAATCGAACAGGATTGTACGTGTGAACAACATCACGGATTCGGTGGACGTCCGCGTTGTAAGATTGTGGGACGCAAGGAAAAGGAACAACTCGCGGTGAGTATCCATATTTTAAGACAATTAGTAGAAAATTAACTACAAAAATATTAACTATGAACGCTTTAGCATTGATAAATGCCTTAGAATAAATGTCTCAACGTGACACATAAATCTAGCTTGACATCAATTAAGAATGATATAATTTATCTTATCGCAATGTTATTACAGAGACACACGAAGGGAGGAGTAAAGGGTTAAAGGAGCCACAGTACTATGCATACTATTATTACTAATTAATTTAGATGTAATGTATTTGTTACTTTGTTACATTATCGTAAACAATCCTTTTGAATAATAAATGATATAATTGCGTCATCCGATCAATACTGCTGATGTTCCATAAGTCGAAAAGAATATCAACTGCAAGATTCGAGTTGTATCTCACAATAATTTCTTTCATTTTCTAGATCTAACATATGCAAATTAAATATGCAAATTAATACAAATACAATGAATTGGTGTACGATTTATCAATGTACCAGCGATGTTTTACAGAGAAAAATAAACATTCAACATATTGTTTGTATGTAATAAAAATTCAATAGTGATTCTTTGCCTCCACAAATAAATTTTTATATTTTATTCTCCTTAAAAAAAGAAACATACTATAAATATATATTTTATGCGTACTTCGCGTGCACGAAATTTGGGGGAAAGTTTCTGGTTATTTTTGACATATTGAAATAGAGCTGAATGATCCATTTGTGAAGGGAAAACAAATTAATGTTTACGAGAAGTTAAATGCCTTACGTAAAGTTGAATAAACTTACATCCGACACAACTGAATACTTAAACAGATCGTAATGACACGTAAACACGATTCACTTGCGTGAGAGAAAAACTACATGCATGTCATCGAAGTGTAGTTACCAGGACTGTAATAAGCATATATATTTTTTATTAGTACTAAAAATAGAGTGTTCTACAAATTATGACTTTGATAGATTCTCCGACCAATCTGATTGATTTTCATTTAATGGAAATGTCAAAAGTCACTATTTATCGTAACATTTAGTTTTTGTTACATGTTTTTATAACTGAGTTTTCAATAAATGCTTTAAAAATAGTAAAAATAATAATTCTATTTACAGTTTTGAAATTAATTAACGAGTGGACATGTTCGAAAATATTGTAAAAAGGTAAAAAGGTTAAAAAAGACATGTATTTTAAATATTTCAAAGCTAAAAAAATTCTTTGAAGTTTCGATATATTTAAATTTAAACAAATTACAATGTTAAAAACATAAGCAATGCATTTTATTATTACATTTAATGTTTTATTAAAAATTATCGTTTTCTCGAAATATATTTAACATGCGAAGTAATATTATTTCGCAATATCGGTTTTAGAAATAAATTATCGCATGACATGCGCAAATATCGCGCATGTTACTTGATAATAACTTTTTTTGCTAAAGATAACGCTTTTCTGTTTCTTTTCAAGATATGCAAACATAATCATTTAAGGCTTTATCTCTAAGTGCAATATTATTTATGTATTATTCGGTATTTTCAATATTTCCGACGAAAAAGCGAAATAATATTTTTCTTTTAACGAGAATATATGGTTTATTGCAAAAGTATATAGGTAACAAACTGATATAACATTAATCTTTTTAGAGAGGAAATTTTTTGATAAAAAAAATTTAATAAAAATTCTTTGTTGTAATTATTGATCTATAATCTTTTGGAATTCTCGAAGATGATAAAAAAATTAGAGTATATCAAGAAATACAATATTTTGAAAAAACACAAATATAAACCATTTTAAAGTGCATTAAATAATCATTAAAACATTAAAAATATTCAAACTATAAATTATTCTATATCTACATACTTTATAGCTTCAACAATTTGCTCAAATCAGATCAATATTCAATCTTTAAAAGTAGAATAAAAAACATTTATAAAGAAATATGAATTTTTTGTTGTCAACTATTTTTCAAAAGAGAATATTTTCATATATTTTCTTGTAGAAGCAAACAGATTTTATCTGTTTGTAAAATTTAGTTTATAAACAATTTTACCAATCATTCATAAGTCGGAAATCATTGATATGTCGAGATTTTCATCTTAAGAAAGACATCAATTTATCTGGAATTTTGTCATTAAACTCGAAACGTATAATATTTCGTAAGTGGATGCAATCATGCAAATTAAAGTCTAAATCAAGCTATGCTTCAACATCCGTAACAAACACATCAAATAATTTCGAGGAAGCGAATATGGTTTACGTAACAAATAGAAACGTCATTTTTAATTGGAAGGAATACTGCTATTCCACCTTATAATATTCACATCGCGGAGAATATATTTTAAGAAAATTTAAATTGGACGACAAGAGATTAGAATCGCCTCCTGTTTATTTTACAACCGCTTATTATTCACAGGAAATTTGTTCGCTGATATTAAACATTGGATTCGCGATAAGTCTCTCGCGACAAGCTATTTTTGCAACGATGAAAATACAGGGCGACAGGAATTTTTACTCGAACGACACAAGTCATCGTCGACTTTACATGTTGAATTATGCGATGTAGCCGTCGATCTGCCATACGCGCGTAAGCGCGGCGTGACGTCAAGAGCGAATGTGGTGAGGCTGGATTTTGCCGGGCGGTATTCCTCGCCGTTCCGAGTATGTACAACGCTTTTACATAAATTCGGTATGAGTAATGGTGCGGGAAAGTTCTGACGTTCCCTGAGCATCCGTTTTGATGTATTTCACGGTCCTCGGCTATTATTTTGCTAAAAACAGCGCGCCTGTTTACGTAACGCGTTTATTATCTAGCACGGCAAAACGAGAGTTGGACGCGGCGATAAATCTTGCGATTTTCCCGATAATGTCGATACATACATAAACCAACTGTGAATCGCGCTGGGGACGGGGAAATAACAGAGAGTCCATTTTCCATTTTGAAATATTTATTAAATTTTATTTTTAAATATATCTTAGCGAGCCATCTATCTATTTTATGTGAGCCATAAAAAAGATAAACTGTCCGAAAATCTTATTTTTCAGCAAACGTAATCAACACCTCGTGACAGTGAAGTTTGTGAAATCAACAATTTCGAAGAGGGATGAAAATCACGAATGTCCGAATGAAGAAAAAATCTAAATTGCTTTTCTTATTTCTTTTCGTCTTTCTTTTTTTTTTGTGACGCATGAACTATATGAATGTCAAAATACTAGTCTCGCGATATACCTCAGTCTATACAGTATTAATCTACCTACGTGATAACTATTTTTTTTATTCTGGTCTTAAAAGTTGGTCTAGTTGCTTTATTTAAATCATAACTTCGCCAATCGATCGTGGATTCACGAACTGCTGGCGCCGTTGATATTACCTGACATCGTCGTGGATTCACGATTTAACATCGTTTCAGATACACAGATCCGATAATTTTATAATTCGCAGGGTAGTAAACGCTTTACAAAGCAGACGATCGGTATTTAGCTTAAATGTGTGTTAAATTCGCGCACAGTTAACAATATTTTACATAATCATACATCCTTTCTGAATCCAGGTCTGGAAGGGAGAAATTCATTATAAACCACAATGACGAAATAATCCAATAACTTTCTCTCGAATAATATCACAATTTACGCCAGCGGTGACAACAACGCCGAAATTTCATTTCTGTCTAAGACGAAATGTGTTCTTCTAAGAGATATAACGAAACGCATATAATACAATTGATAAAGTTAATTGAACGATTAATTACGAGCGCGGTTTGTATACAGTATATGTAGGAAATAATAGCTTCAAATACTTAACATAAGGACGGTAAAGGAATTCTTTGAATTACGAATATGAAGTCTATAATCGAGTATCTTAATAATAATTACATCCCACCAAGGAGCCATGTTAAATAAGGAGTAATTACTACCTCGATATTAATCTTACATCTGTCTACGTTTAGAGTGATTAATCTCCACCTGATCGTTGTTGCTTCAACGAAAGTGAAAGTGACTAGTTTTCCATCGTTTACTACGTTGCATTATGCGGCAGTATTGAAATAAAGTCTGACATTTTATGACTTTTACGGAATGAAATGTTAACCCAGAAACAAACTTCCTCTCGGTTACAGATTCGCTATTAGTCAAGTTGTGACTAATCAAACTCGGTCATTTTCCTAAAGAAAAATTAGTGGTAATTTAATTACTATGCCTATTCCGTTCAATCGATGCTTCTCATTCGATTTTTTTTTACTATTTAAGTAGCTATTACTTACTGTCTCCTTAAATTGAAAGTTTTTAACTTCTCTTCAGTTAAATTCTTCTCGAGAAGACAAGATTATGCAAGGAATAAAATTTTCTTATACATTTGCATCCCTTAAACACAGTTTTCCCAAGAACTTTCAAGATTTGATCGCGCATATGATTTGAAATTAATATCTCGGAATTAGAGCGGCGTTCTTTTTTTCTTTTTTCTTTTCATAACTTTGTCGCGCGTATCGTCTCAGAGATGATACGCGATTTCTAGGTCGCCATGTATGTAGTACGTACCCTGTTTGTGGATATATTACAAAGCCGCGACGACAAGGCCGGTGGAAGCGTACATTTAAATTCATGGAAAACTTTTTCTTAGAAAATTCTCATGCACTCGAGCACTTAGCGATAATTAATTAACCCATTAAATATCGTGAACGTCACGCACGCTTTTTACGACCCGAGGCGCCCCGGACGTCATCTCTCTAAGCGCGCGATATATGTTTTATCGATTGGATTTCTCTTGTGTACTTACAGTCTTACTATAGCCCGTCATACATCGAAACTGCCCTAGAAGAGAGGAAAAATTAAAAAGTTTAGCATGGCAAAATGTCATCAAGCGCTTCGCAGCTCCACTCGCGTGAGTTGTCGTTGCCGTCGCCGTCGCCGTCGCCGTCGCCGACATCGCCGCCGCCGCGCTTTCTCCGCGGGAAGAAACAAATGTACGAAGAATACAAGGCACTTTCACTTCCCTGTAATAATTATATGGAGTATAAAGATGGTGGGGTGACAAGGCGCGATTTATTCAATACCGAAACAATACATCGTTCCTCTTTCGTTTCTTTTTTTTCTTTGTTTTCCTCTGGAGACTTTCTTGCTAACAGACTTGACACTTCAGAGCCGGAACCGCGAGTACACATTACGTTCTCCACACACACACACACACACATACACATACACATACACGCCCACTCATACATATAAGTACACTCACATGCACATATCACGATTACATATTTATATGTATAAATCACAATCGCAGTTTTTGTTCTCATACACGATTGCACTTAATCTCATTACATTTATATATTTATATTTTTATTTTTATTTATATATATTTATATATATATATATATATATTTATAGATTTTGTACGATGTGAAATCTCCGTATACTCCGTATACGTTTTCGCGAAGTCGCATCGTACTCGATCATCGTACAAGATTCTTTTTTCTTTTTGTGTGCGCACAGTATGTAACTGCCGGATGCAATAAGATTACGGATACTCTTAAACCAAGTACTTTCTCTACCTCGTTTTTAAGCTTGTTTTAAATAAAATGTACATATACAATTATATCCTTGTAATAAATTTGTACCGCAATAACAAGATTTGATCGATACACGCTACGGTAGCCAGCTATATAATAATAAGGGGCGAAAGGGGGAGAAACAGAGATAGATAGATAGATAGATAGATAGATAGATAGATAGATAAATAGAGAGAGAGAAAGAGAGACGGAGATGGGAAGGGGCGCAGAGGGAGATCGTCAGTAGTTGCCGCGTTATTCGCTCCATCCACATATCGTACATAAATTTCAAATAAACCTCGGTAAGGCAGTGCCAGCACGATGATACACGTAAGGTGGGGGCGGCGGGCCGGAGAAATGTCTTTGATGCTGATGAGGAAGCGACGACCGGTGCGCAGCCGGCTCGATGGTTCCGCCGCTCGACGGGGAAACATGCGGCAAGAGGTGCGACGCCCCGTCACCGAGATCCAATTCCAGTTCCTGCTCCTCGATTAAGTGCAGAGCGCCGAAGGAGGCCGTCGCCATCGCTACGTCCGGCATTACGCCCGACAGTTGGCCGTCGCTGCAGGAATTGCCGTCTTGCTGCTGCGAACGAAAGAGCATACCGGGAGGTGCCCACCGTTTGCGTAATCCGTTTTTCGAGGAAGTGGAAAAGCGCGAGTTGGGGTTAATCGAGCGAGGTGCCGCGATCGCGAAGCAACGATACGATTACGATGTAAAAAGAAAAGAAAAAACAGAGAGAGAGAGAGAGAGAGAGAGAACAAAGAGACTCGCGCCGCTGCACAAATGGGGGAAAACCGATTCCGTAACCACGGCCTGAGAATTACCCGGTTGCGAGAGATCGGAGATTGAACAAGACACGGCCCGATAATTTTGCCGGTAGTTTCCCAACTGGATCGCAACAATCCGCTCCAGTCTCGCGATACAGAGACGAATCGAGAGACCCCCTCCCCCCGACTCGAGAGGAATTGTTGGGGATTCCTAAACACGCGCGATTCAAATCACCCGCGAGGGTAACGAATGTAAATAACATAAGCACGTCGTCCCTTACCTCGGCAAGAAGTCTGCAGCTCTCTCCCTCGGTCACTATAGCTGGAAGTTCGTGTCTATGTGCGTAAGACGAAGTCGGCCGAGGAAATGTCATGTTCCTGCCGTAACACACCGGGGCGGTAGTTCTCACACGAATACCCATGCCCGGCGAGTCAATGTCCTCTATATCTGTCATCCTCTGCTCGTTTTGCTCTTTCATACTGTAAGACGCTGTGTTCTGAAATCGATACGCCGGCAATTTATCGCGCGCTGTTTCGCTAGATGAAAGATGCATTAAAAGC